CGGATGATAAACTCGTTCATTTCTGTTGTCCATTTCATCCGTTGGCGTGGTTTTCCAGCCTTTGTGGTCTGTGAATGCATTGCCACAGAAACACCAAGGCTAGGTTGATTCCTCACATCTGTTGAGGGCATTGCAGTAGCCATGCTTGGGCCGGCGCTGCTTTTGCCACCGGTAACCAAGGGAGACTGCAGCCTATTTTTCGAACGTGAGCCTCTGCCTAACCCACGAATGCGGACCTTGTTAACCCGGGCGACGTCCGAGCCAGTATCACACTTTGATCTGGTTACTACCACTGTTATTGTTATTATTGTTATTATTATTATTATTAACAACTAACTATCTGATCATCAGTTGGATGAAGTGTTCATATGAAAGTTAAATGTTGTATTTTTAAAAGTAAAAAAATAAGTATGCTATAAATCTATCTTATAAGATACAGTAAGACCCCGCTTAACACTGATTCGATATAATGCAGTCTGCTTAAAGCCTTAAAAAAAGCTCAAAATTTAAATTATCGTGGCATTTCTTTGATTTGTATATAATACGATTATTTGCAAACACAAACCAATCAGCAAAAGGTGGCAAAAAGGCGTACTTTCTTTAAATCTATGTTTGTTTGGTGCAATTTTGGAAAAAATATAAAATCATGGATACCATAGGAAATATCGACTTTGCTTGCAAAAATTAACTGATAAATGCATGAATGAAGTGTGGAAGAAGCTATGGCTGAGGGTATCCAAGAATTCTCAACGAAAAGAGCCTATTGCTGTATTGTTAGGTTGACCAAACTCAACCTAATTGATATAGCAGGACTAGGAGATAGACGAGCAGGATATTGAGGAGTTACAGCAGGTTTCTGGTGAGAGCCTTATCAACGACGATCTTGAAGAATTGGCAGAACATGGAATTCATGTGAAACTGGAAAATAGAGACTCTGAGAATGAAGAACCCAAAAAATTTCTCTACAGATTTCCTTAGTAAAAGTTCGGTAAGATTACCGAAATCGTTGATCAAATTGTAGCAAATGATCCAGATTTTGAAAGGAGTGCAAAAGCAAAACGAGGGATTTTGGATGCAATCTTCTGTTATCGACATTTGCTTAAGGAAAGAAAAAGTGACAAATGAAACTTCACGACTTTATTGCAAAAGAACAAACTTTTCAGAAAAGTTGGGACAAGAAATGAACTTTACATTTCTGTGTGCATATCTTTATGTGTTATTTAACATATATTATTATACAAATTAATATAAAAATAACTTAAAATTAAAATAAAATTTGTTTATTTTTTGTTGTGTGTTTCTCCATCCCTATTTACTCTAAGTTAAAATGACCTCATTTAACGCTGTTTCGCTTAGCACTTTGTTGTCTAGGAAAGCATCCACCATGTTAAGCAGGGTCTTACTGTATAGTACATAATATAAGAAATAAGATACATTTTTTTTAACTTGTATTTTAAAATGTGCTTCAAAACATATTCCATGATATCTGTCTAAAGAAAACCTTATTTCCACTAATGGTAATTTATTTGTAAAAAGTAAATATCTAAATGACCACAAATACTGTATTTATTGTTTGTATGCATATTAATTAATTTTATACATTATTATTGTTTCTTTTTATAGTATTTGATATTTTCTTTTATGTATTTAACATTTCTAGAAGGAAATAAAGATACATACATAAAAAGCAGAAGGGAATTATTTTAATTACGATTAATAAAATAAGATAATATAAAATTTATTTTAGTTATGTTTTTTTTGTAAAATGTATTGTATAAATGTTATTTACATTATTTGGAAATTTTATGATTATTTATTTATGTAAAGTAATATCTTCTTTAGCGCTTTTCTAATAAGATTTAAAATAAATTTAAATATATTTATACATGTTTTAATGTTACAAATCATTAAAATCATAATTGGATTATTGGTAATGAAATGTTTATATTATATATTCTAATTTTCTATATTATATGTTTGAAGTATATTTTTATGGAGTATATTATTGAAAAATTCTTAAATAGAAATTAATTACAAAAAATTTAGAATTATATACATATTTTTTGAAAGCTTAATTTGCAATTTAAATAAAAACAACTTTTAATATAAATCTCTAACACTCACATACAAATATAGTTTTAGTTTATTTTTAACTTACGTGTTTTCCTGCACTGCTTTTTTCATCTTTGACTCACTATAAAGTAAGATTAAAGAAACTGTTTTGTACTTGAACAGAATTTGACAAAATCTTGATACAAATTTTTCTTTTCCATAAGTTTTTTACATAGATAATATTAATATGAATAAATGATTATATATATATATAACAGAACACACAAAGAACGCAAAGAATGTAATGATGCATACATGAACTACAAATTTAAAACTTGTAACAAAAAAATATGAATAAAATAGTCGATATTTTAAATAACTCATATCAATTTTTAGAACATATGCGAATATAAACAACAATAAACAAAGATAAGCAAATTTGCCAAAATGCATTATGGAAATTAATCACAACATCAAGATGAGTTTTTTTTATTAATATCATACATAAACAACTTATAATTATTTTAGTGGGTAAATATATATATATCATAAATATATATGTTGATGTGTGTATGTACAGTATATAACAAAATCATCAATTACTAATTAAAAAAAGCATAATATGCACAATTTATCCTATGAAATTTGTTGCATTGATATACAGTACATTACTTTATATGTAAAAAAGTGACTGGCTCTACTGCAATGTAACAGTTTCAGCTTGCACATGCACACAGGTATTTATGTTGCTTTTTAGAAAACAGATAAATTGCAGGACAAGAAAAGAAGAGATTACATACCATCACACAAGAAGAAACATAACGATAAGCCAAAGCCATAAATATGAAAATCATACATACCGTCCATGCACATCCGTTCTGCCCTTCACAAAAGTATCTTGTCCATTATGCGTGCATTGTGGTACCCGCTCACCAAATGTGTTACTAGAGTCCCTTTCGCACTTCATGCAAAGCACCTGGCCACCAATATTAAAAGGTACCTGTCTACCAGTTCTTTGCCTCTCAGTAGAGACTTGTGATACATACCCCCCATTCAGGTACGGTAGATGATTAGTTGAGGACGGCTGTTGTTGTTCAAAGACTGAACTGTCCGGTGAGGTTTCTGTGGGTTGAGGTGCTGCTTGTTGTGGCTGAGCCTGCTGTGGCTGTTGTTGCTGCGGACGGACTAGCTGGGCTCGGTGATATCTCACCTCATCTTCCACTTTCTCTCGCTGCTTTTTAGACATTCGACCAAATTTAACAGCTAATATAAACATGAAATCAATTTTAATTTCATATTTAAAAAATGCATTAATATATAATAGAATAATTGAAAAAGTTTCAGTCATATTTATTCCAAATAATTTAAAAAGGAAATAAAGTGTTCATTTTTTACATATACCTCAATGTGAATACTACATATAACTCAAATATCTAAATTATGTTATATTTATTATCTAAATTATGTTATATCATAGCTAGAAATGTAATATTGTTGCATGGATGTTATGGTTTCTATAATAGAGTTGATTCTTTCTTCTGTGTAGTCATAGTTTAGATACTTTTTGTGTGTTATCAATATCTTCTATAGAAATTCCATAAGAAAAACTCTAGTACTAAATCTGGACAGCAAAAGATGGTGTTATATTCATTTTCTCTCTCAATATTATCAACTCCTGGAAAAATAAAATTACAGTAATACCTCGACTTACGCAAACTCGGAGTTACGCGATTTTCAAATCTCGTCGATTCGTCTTTTGTTTGAGCGCCACACAACTCTTGATTACTCACTTACCCCACACTATTGTTCAGCTTACATGTTCGGACGTGTCGGGCGGAATTGACACATAACTACAATTTATCTTGTGTTATTTATTTCTGTGTTTGTTATATCTACGGAGACTTGAGAGACTCTATGTGGTGATTTCTTGTAACCGTGAATGAATCAAAAGACGAGATAAGATTAACGAGAACATTTATTAGCTTAACCTTCTTGATAAAGAGCACTGAGTTCAGCGTTAATACGATTTTTCTTATATCGCAAGTACTTTCGACGAGTATTATATCGTCGTCTTCAGGTGAAAAAAGAACAAATTTGAATTGGAACGTGCAGAATGTTCCAAGTAGAAAACGGAAAAAATTTTTCTTGTCAATTTCTAAATTATAACCCCACACTCGACTTGCCCGAAATATGGGTTACTTTATACCAGCGTTTAAATAGCAAAAAGCGCCAAGAGTTGCACAATTAGTACGATCACTCGTCAACGCATGCGCTGTTAGTCGTGTGGATTTAAGATATTTCGAACGCCGGCAAAAGCTTGGTGCACGTGACCAACGGAATTATCGAATGCTATAATTTAGAAATTGACAAGAAAAATTTTTTCCGTTTTCTACTTGGAACATTCTGCACGTTCCAATTCAAATTTGTTCTTTTTTCGCCTGAAGACGACGATATAATACTCGTCGAAAGTACTTGCGATATAAGAAAAATCGTATTAACGCTGAACTCAGTGCTCTTTATCAAGAAGGTTATACAATTTTGGCGTGAGTTTTATTTATTTATCTATTTCTATTTATTAGCTTACATACATCCCACTTGGATTTTACACAAATTGTGAAATTATACCCTGACTTACGTGGTCATCGCTCAGTCCCACCTATCGCGTAAGTTCAGGGTATTACTGTATTCTACCAAACATATTAAATCATTATACAGGTATACCTCGAGTTACGTCGTTTTGAGCTACATCATTCTCAATTATATGGCGTTTGTCAAAAAATATATGGAAAAATAAAAATCAAGTTTAAGTCATTTTATTCGACTTTACGTCCATCTGCCACAAATACTGATGTCATAATATCACTAGAAAAGCATTTAAAGCAAATAAAATTATATTAAAATATATACATTTACAAGTATGTACTGTATTTACAGTACATGCATTTGTAAATTTAGATTACTTTTTTCTGTACTATATTAAAAACTAAAATTTATTTCTTTTAAAATCAATTTTTCAAAAATTTAGAATCAATTNATAGCAACCAAAATAAAACTAAAATTAAATAAGTGTGTCAGTGTCTGTATTCAGAAATTTCCTAACAATATGGCATGTATTCAATATAGTGGCCTTCTGTAGTGTGATGTATGTATTTCTATTCAATTGTAATGTTCCCAGCTTTTGTGTAGCTTTTGTGTAGTGTGTGTGGTATCACACCTGTACAGGAGAGAACGACAGGCACAATAAGCACCCTATCCATCCTCCACAGATGCCTTATTTCCTGGGCGAGTTCTGTGTACTTGCTGATTTTTTCAGTGCATGTGTTTTGTACATTGTGAGTGTTTGGGATGGTTATGTCTATAATGTATATGATTTTATTGTGTTTGTCAATAAGTGTAATGTCTGGTCTGTTGTGGTAAATTGTTTTATCTGTGATTATGGCTCTGTCGTAGTACATTTTGTGCGTGTTGTTTTCCAATACTGTCTGTGGAATATACTTATAGTATGGTTCGTGAATGTTTACCATTTTGTGTTTCTTTGCAAGCTCTTGGTTTATTATATTTGCTACTTGATTGTGTCTATGTAAGTAATCTGTCTGTGCGAAGAGCTTGCAACCAGAAGTGATGTGTTGTATAGTTTCTGGCATGATGTGACATTTTCTGCATGTGTCATTTGTGAGTGTTGTATCTTTGAGCATGTGTTTTCTGTAGTTTTTAGTATTTATGACCTGATCCTGTATGGCAATCATAATTCTTCTGTCTCCCCAAAGAGGCATCCCCGATCTAACCAGCTGTTTGACGTAGTTTTGTCAACAAAATCCTGGGTCAGGTCATAAGGATGCCAGCTGTGGAGTGCCTTTTGAGCCCACGATTGCTTGATTGTGTCTATGCTTTTTATATGTTGTGTCATGTCTGTGTGTTGTGAGTGTAAGTTTAATGGTGTGTTATTTGAGTCTGCTAGAGTTACTGCTTTATGTAACTGTGATGTTTCTTGTTTCTTGTAGAAAAACTCTCGCAGTGACTGTGTTTGTAGTGAAGGTTAACTATGTCAATCAGGCCACATCCGCCTTTATGTGGAAGGGTTAATCTTTCTGTGGCAGATTTAGGACAATGATGTTTATGCTTAGTAAGTGTTTTCTTGTTTTCATTTGGAGTTGCTCAAGATCTGTGTGAGTCCAATGAATAACTCCAAAAGAATAAGTGCATACTGGGATGATATATATGTTTATTGCATTTAACTGTGTTCTGAGGATAGCATTTAACCTACTTTGGTATTCTTTAATTAATCTTTGCTTTATTTGTGTATGTTCTGTTAGTTTGGCCTGTTGGAATCCTAAATACTTGTAGAACTCACCCTCTTCCATGGATTCAATAACGTCTCCATTTCCAAGTGCAAAATCTTCTTTCTTCAGGATTCCTTTTTCTATGTGAAGTGTTTTGCATTTGTCTAGCCAAACTCCATTTGTATGTCCTTAGTGTATGAATGTGTGATTTGTAGGAGTTGATGAAGTTGTTTCTGTGTGAATGCATAAAGTTTTATGTCGTTCATGTACATGAGATGTGACAGCATAAACCATGTTGTTTTTTCATGTCTGATATTGTAGCCATATTGCATGTTGTTTAACATGTTGGATAATAGGTTCAGGGTTAGGCAGAACCAGAGAGGACTCAAGTAATCTCCTTGAAAAATTCCTTGCCTAATGAATATTTCATTTGTTTGTGTGGAAGTGTTACTAACCCTGAGATGTAGTGTTGTTCTCCAGTGCTGCATAGTGTTTTGGAAGAGTGCAATGAGTGATGGATGTATTTTGTACACGTGTAGAATATGTAGCAGCCAACTGTGCAGAACACTGTCGAATGCTTTTCTGTAGTCTATATATGCCATGTGTATGTTTCTGTGTTGTTTGTGTGCTTGCTGTAGAATGACTGAATCTATGAGTAACTGTTCTTTGCATCCCATTATTTCTACGGCAACCTTTTTGTTGTTCTGTAAGAATGTCATGTTCTTCAACATATTTGTATATTTTGTTTGCAATGCAGGATATCAATAATTTGTAGAGTGTTGGAAGACATGTAATTGGTCTGTATTGTGTGGGGTCTGTGGTGTTGTTGTTTTTAGGTTTTATGTAGGTGATGCCCCGAGTAAGAAATTTTGGCATGTCTTGTGGATTGATAATGATGTGTGTTAGATGTTTAGCTAGTTCCTGGTGAAGTGATGTAAACTTTTTGTACCAGAAATTGTGAATGTTGTCTACACCAGGATCTGTACCTGTATATTTAGTGAGTGTTTCCTAAAATATAAGTGAGAGCATATTAATTAAATCTATGTCTATGTTATCAGTGATGGATGAGGAAGTGCCTGTAGTATCATTAGTTGTAGTTGTATGTGTGCTATTATCAATGCTTGTTGCTGGATTATCCTGACAGGTTATGTGATCTTCATTAATAATGTTAAATGTTTCTGTCTGTTGATGTATTTGATCAGCAACCTGTTGTTTGATAAGTTCAAGTGTTGTTTGTGGCATAATGTTGTTGTGTATAATTGTTCTTTTTTGATCAACAACCCTTTGTTCGGTGACAGTGAGGTGAGCATATTGTTGTGTGAATCTACGGTGTAGTTGTTGTCTCTATGCTGTCATGATTGTTTCGAGTTTTGTGATTGCATAGTAAGTATGAATGATAAACTCATTCATTTCTGTTGTCCATTTCATCCGTTGGCATGGTTTTCCAGCCTTTGTGGTCTGTGAATGCATTGCCACAGAAACACCAAGGCTAGGTTGATTCCTCACATCTGTTGAGGGCATTGCAGTAGCCATGCTTGGGCCGGTGCTGCTTTTGCCACCGGTAACCAAGGGAGACTGCAGCCTATTTTTCGAACGTGAGCCTCTGCCTAACCCACGAATGCGGACCTTGTTAACCCGGGCGACGTCCGAGCCAGTATCACACTTTGATCTGGTTACTACCACTGTTATTGTTATTATTGTTATTATTATTATTATTAACAACTAACTATCTGATCATCAGTTGGATGAAGTGTTCATATGAAAGTTAAATGTTGTATTTTTAAAAGTAAAAAAATAAGTATGCTATAAATCTATCTTATAAGATACAGTAAGACCCCGCTTAACACTGATTCGATATAATGCAGTCTGCTTAAAGCCTTAAAAAAAGCTCAAAATTTAAATTATCGTGGCATTTCTTTGATTTGTATATAATACGATTATTTGCAAACACAAACCAATCAGCAAAAGGTGGCAAAAAGGCGT